GTGATAAAGATGCATCTGAAGTAAAGTGGTACTTAAATAATTATTTTGTTGTCAGAGATTTAGACACCCTAAATATTTTCTTCAGATTTAATTTGCTCAAAGAAAGAAAGGGGCCCCCCATAAGGAAATTGAATTTCTAGACTGCAAATCACACACCCATGGATGACCACATCAAGTTTGATGAGGATATACCCTATGATGATCTATCTCTGTATAGAAAATAAATTAAAAAGGATGACTCATCTAACAATTATGTGATAAGATATCTACATTGTTGTTCTGGTCATTAGTTAACAAATGCAAAATTCAAAACAAAAGCTTTGGTATATTGTTCTTCAAAATTTGAGAGACATCAAGGCTACTAAAAAATGGCTGATTTATACTTAAATTGAGCACTTAAATATTGAAGAATTCACTGCATCCAACTATGTTGAATTTGTTGATGATAGAAAGTCAACTTTTGGGTACTATGTTTTTTGTGGGAGGTTATTTGGTTACATATTAAGGAATATAAAGTCATGGCTCATTATAAATATGAAGTGATGTGTGTTAAGACAGAAAAATTTAATTTTCCAATAATTGAACTTATGGTCCTAAATTATGACAATTGTGCTGACATATATTGCTAGTAATTCTGTTTTTCATGAAATAACCAAACACTTCAAGGTTACTTGTCATCTCATATGAGATGCTTTGTGTTCCAAGAAGAATGTTACTCCCCATCAATGATGCACTGATACACCTATTTATAAAGCTATGCAGTATCGGATACGTGCCCGATATGGCATAGATATGTGTCAGATATGGCAAATTCGTATCCAATTAAAGTAATATTTAAATTCAAAAGGACACGCATATCGGATAATCGTGTAGGATTAAAAAACAAAAAAAAATTGACGGAGTGGTTTGTATTTCGTATTCATTTCCACGACCGCGAGGCTTTCTCATTTCCGCACTAAGTTAGGTCTTCTTCATTTTCGCGACCACGAGCTCTGAGTTAGGGCTTTTTCATTTCCGCAACCACGAGCGTGCGTATTCTTCATCTTCGTCATCGAAGGAGTAGCACACGAGCACGTCGAGCAGGTGAGACAAGGCAATTAGGAAAACAAGGATCGAAGGAAGGTTAGTTTTCATAGTCTTTTTCTAATATTGCCTTCTTTAATTTTTTCACAAGTAAGATTTTTTTTTTCCTTCAACAGCTAGTTCATAATGTTTTTTTTTCACGAGTTAACTGTGAAAGCTGTGCACTTTCACAAAATTAGTGTTTGAACGTAGCAAGTTTACTATTTAGCGATTGAAGGTAGTATGTTTACTGTTTAACTTCTTCGTTAATCCTTCCTCATGCATATTATATCTTTTCTTTTTCAATCATAAATTCTTATTTAAAGAAATATAATTACAAAAAAATTAGTTGAATCATGTCACAAAAACAAAACTTGATTTTTGATTACCTAATGAGTTATCTATAGTGGAATCATGCCACAACATTTTTATTACCCATAAATCTTATTAACCAAAACTCTTGAACTCATGTCACAAAATTAGTAGAATCATGTCACAAAATTAATGAAAAATGTCGCAATATTAGTGGAATCATGTCACAAAATTAGCCAAAATTCTAATTAGCCAAAATTACTGAAATAATGTCCCAAGATTTTTATTATCCAATGAGTTTAACTCTTTACTTGAGTTATTGATTATCTAACGTTTGAGTTTTGTATTTGGAGCTCTAACATTTGAACCTGCAACATGTGTCAAATGTCAATATTTTTATTATTTCTTAGGAATAATGAGTCTAGTGGAGGTGGAATTGTGACTGGTGATGGTTTATCAGAGCCCAACATTGAAGATAGCAAACATTTGTGGAGTCATATTTCAAAATTGGGAAAAACTTTTGAAGGTGGTGGTAATGTTGTATTTAAATGCAATTACTGTAATGCCACATATAAAGGATCGTTCTATATAGTTAAAGCTCATTTGTTGAAGATTGTTGAGCATGAGATTAAAATTTATCAAAAAATAAGTTCATCACAGTTGGCTGAATTACAAAAAAAGTTAGTGAAAGTGAACAAAGAAGTAGAAGAGAACTTCATAAAGAGATTCCACTTCCAAGTTCCCATACTGAAAATCCTTCATCCTCTTCTTCAATTTGGACTGATGATATCATTGTTAACAAAGGACAATTTAGGATGGAGGAATATGAACCTAGAAAAAGAAAAGTTGTTGCAGATAGCTCTTTGGATAAGGCCTTTAATTTGCAAATAAGAGAGTAGTTAGATGGGGAGATAGCAAGAATATTTTACTCAGCTGGCATTCCTTTCAACTTAGCAAGAAATCCACATTACAGGAATGCATTTACTTTTGCTTCCAATAATAACCTCATATATTATGCGCCACCAAAGTATAATGCCATTAGAACCAAGTTATTGCAAAGAGAGAGGACTGACATTGAAAAGTTGCTTGAGTCAACTAAAGGAGTGTGCAGAGGAAAAGGTGGCAGTTTGGTGTGTGATGGTTGGACTGATCCTAAAAAAAGATCACTCATCAATTTCATAGCTGTTGTAGATAATCATCTAATGTTTATCAAAGTAGTGAATTGTGAAGGGGAATACAAGGATAAATATTTCATTTCCAATTTGATTAAAGATGTGATAATGATGATTGTGCAATTAAATATTGTGCAAGTTATCACTGAAAATGCACCAGCATGTAGAGCTATAAAATTATTAGTGGACCAAACATATCCTCATAATTTCTGGACTCCATGTATTGTGCACACTTTAAATCTTGCTCTAAAAAATATTTGTGCATACAAAAATACAGAGGCTGATTAAATCATCTATACTGAATGTCATTCGATAACAATAGTTGCATGTGACATTGTTCTAATTGGAAATTTCATTATGAACCACTCAATGAGACTATACATCTTTAATGATTTCTCACATTTGAGATTGTTAGTTGTTACCGAAACTCATTTTGTCTATATTATAATCATGTTGAGAAGATTCAAACAAATAAAAAATGCTCTTCAATCCATTGTAATTAGTGAAGAGTGGTCTTGTTATCGGGAATATGATGTTGGGAAGGCAAGCTACGTAAAAGAAAATATCTTAAATGATTTGTGATGGGATAATATCGCTTATATTTTGGCTTTTATTGATCCAATTTATGATATGTTGAGAGAGGCTAACACAGATAAATCATGCCTACATTTGATTTATAAGATGTGGGACTCTATGCCAGTTAAAGTGAAAAAAATTATATACAAATATGAAAAAAGACACATAATGAAGAATCAAATTTTTGAAACATTGTCTACACTATTCTTGAGGATAAGTGGAGCAAAAATAACATGCATCTTCATGTCTGGCGCACTCATTAAATCCAAGGTAAATTTGGATATATCTTTTAAATTAGTTTTTACTTTGTTTGCTAATAAAATCTCTAATTTTAATTAATTTATTTTGTTTAAAGATATTCAAATAAAGAATGACTTCAAGAATACCCTCAACATATCTCACCATAAAAAGATTTAAAAGTTTCAAATATGAGAAAGATATGTTTGAAACGTTATTTCTCAAATGAGGAAACTTGCAAAGTTCTTTCGATATTTAGATGATTTTTGGTGATCAAGAATCTTTGGTTGATAGATAGAGGATGGATACAAAGATGTGGTGGCTTATTTATGGAGCTTCAACACCGCTGTTTCAAACAATAGAAAAAAAATCTTCTTGGTCAAGTTTCGTCATCCTCTTGTTGTGAGAAAAAATTGTAGCACATACTCATTCATTCAATCGATGAAGGGAAATTAAATTACTCCTCAACGAGCTAAAGATTTAGTTTATGTGCATACAAATCTTTGACTTCTATCAAGAAAGACCCTACTTTATATGGCAGATGAAAACAAGATGTAGGAAGTTGATGAAGATGGGTTTGAGTCTCTTGATGATATGTGAATATTTGATATTGAAAATCTTTCTCTTGATGAACCAAAGTTGGAAACAATGATATTCAATGATGATGATATTGAAGGTCAAAGACAAATCACTAAAGCTAATCCTATTATTCCCTCTACTAAATAGTTGAAGTTTGATGTTGTACTAAATGGTTTTTGCTTATATTTAATTTTTTTTCAATGATGATGACATTTTGTGCTAAAAATTTTATGTCAAAAGTTAGACAAGTTATCATGGCATTGATTTATTATTCTTTATCATTTCTAATTTGATGTTACATTAATTTCTATACGCTATATAAACAAAATTGTAATGCCATGTCCACGCTGTACCCGTATCCTATATTTTAAAAAAATGTCGTGTCCCGTGTCCGTATCGTTTTGTCATGTCCGTGCATCATAGCTCCCCATGTTTCCAGTTCAAAACAAATGGAGGATATCTTCACCAAAGCTCAAAGTCATATACCATTCTCTTGTTTATGCAACAATTTGTAACTAATAGATGCATATTCTCTTAACTTTATAAGATATATTCGCATGTTAGGAAGCAAATACTAATAGGAAATCATCAAATAAGAGAGTATATAAGTTGAGAACATTTACATTGATTTCTCTTTACCAAATTTCTTTTTTACCTATTAATTTAATCATATATGCTATAAATAAATAGACACATTTGTTTAGTGAATAAGATCATCTAATTTTCTTCCTCCAGCATCTAGTAGTGGCAGATGCACCTTCAATGCTTCAGAAGTCAAATCAAAACAAACAACAAGAAGAAAAAAAACAAATTTTTTAGTACCAAAATGCTTCAAATCGACAACTTCCCAAAAAAAATGAGAAAAAAATTAAAAACCAGACAACGCTCCGCGGACATTTCTAATCTTCCATAATTACATTAACACGCAACAATTCAGACGTACATATGCATTAAAATCTAATTAAGAAATCAGACCTAACAATCTGGCATACTCTCTATCGGAAACCCTAACAATGAAAATAACATATTTACTAGCATCCCAAATACGCGGTGGGGACTTACAGAGTGAAGAAGAACGGAAGCTAGGGTTTCTTCGACTTCTAGCGTAAAGTATGTTCGGAACCTGGCCAGCTAAAAGGCTCGCAGACGCCATTAGAGAGCAATAGCGTAAAGAATGTTCGAAGCCTTGATTCGAAGCTGGGGGATAGTAATGAAAAAAAACCGAGGTGGCATATCAGTGGATAAAACAAAAGGCTTCAATATAACTTTTCTTTTATTTGGTACATTTAGATGAAATTATCATGGTTTTAAAAATCGGATTAAGCTAGCCGGTTCAATCAGTTGGATCGGAACCGATCTGGCGGAGGTCTAGCCCTACTACATGTAAACCCGCGTTGCAATCAAACCGGCTAAAAGCTGGTTCAATTGTGGGTTAACTGGAATGATATTTGCTGGCCTTGAAAGATATTTGTTGGATTTGGGAGCATTCTTTATTGTAACTGTTGGTTTGACTATAGACCATGAGGGGATGCCATTTTATTTTAAAAAAAGACATTAAAGAATTTATTTATTTTCCCAATAGCTATCAATAATTTTTCAATATAGCTTATTGATTTTATTTGAAACAAAGAATGCTAGAAACTAAAGCCTTGCATTATGTTTTGGTTCTCTATTTCTCATTTTTACTATAAGTAAATGTCACTAGAACTCCATAAAACACATATTATGTTGTTTTTATGCTTTTCATTTTTGTTTTATACTTAAGTTGGAATGAAACACTATGAAATATATGATCTATTATATGTATAAGATAGCACATCATCTATTGAAAAAAAAATATTTACAAATATATTTAAGTATTGACTTCAATAATTTTTTTCACACTTTTTCATGTTATTTGTTTAGCTGCCCAAAGCAGAATGTCGAGCTCAACTCCTCAACGCCAAACGCAACGCACAATAGAGGCTCGATAGGTATGCATTCCTCGCCCAACGCAATGTTTATTGTTGAAACTCTTTCACTAAGAATTAGGTTGTTAAACCTAAGCTTATGTCTCATGGCTAACCAAGAGGGGGGTGAATTGATAATTAAAAAAAAAATTACCCTCTTAAAATTTGGAAATTAAAGCTAACTTTATTGAGTTTTATAGAAATAGATTTTTCAACCACAAGTTCTAAACGTTAAAATAAAAACAACGGAAAAATAAAGAACACCAAATTTATAGTGGTTTGGTCAAAACCAGACCTACATCCACTCCCCGGAGGCACCCTCCGAGTATTGCACTAATACCACTAGTGACTCTCCTTTAGCACCCACAGCAATGCGGAGAAGACTTTACAAAAAACTCTTTCCACCATTACCCGGTGCGGTAGAAAACTGTCATCCTTTTACACTATCCCCAGTGTTGGCAGAGAACCGTCCTTCCTTTCACACTCTCCTAGTGTGGGCAGAGAACCCTTCGGCTGTTCACACTCTCCTAGTGTGGGAAGACAACTCTTCGGTTATTCACACTCTCCTAGTGTGGGCAGAGAACCCTTCGTCTGTTCACACTCTCCAAGTGTCGGCAGAGAACCGGATCTCCTTGACAGATATTCTCACAAGAAATCTAGAAGGAAGAAAGAAAAGAGTGAAGTAATTCCAAATCAAAAGTATAGACTCTTACCTTCAATCACCAAGTGAAGCCTTCTCGCTCCAGTAGTAAGAATCTTCTTTCGAATGCTCTCTCACACTCTCTCCTTGACTCTTCTTTCAGTAAGCATGAAGATCAATGGGCAAAAAGATTATGTGGCAGTTTAATTTGGACTATTTATAGAAAAGACACAAAAAACCGTCCAAAAACTATAAATTTTCAAGTCAATATGAATTGGATCGTCCCGTACGATTGTGGATCTTCCTGGACGATTTTTACTTAAATGTGTTGGAAACGAACCTAATGTATATGGGTACAAAATGATTTCGTACACACACATCGTCCTGTACGAACTAGGTTCGTTCGGTACGAACGGTTATTCCATAGGTCGGTTCCCAAAAACTATAGAACGACACTTAATTTTCAGAGTCGGTTCACTTCGTTTTGGTACGAACTTAAGGTTCATCCGGATAAACATTTTACAGAGAGAAAATCGTCCCGGGAAGAATACACTTCATCCTGGACGATAGCAATCTTAAAAGTAACTCGTCCTAGAACGAATACACTTCATTTTTGAACGAAAATTTTCCAGAGAACATTTCGTCCTGGGACGAATACACTTCGTCTTGGATGATCAGGACTTAGAAAAAATTCCTTCAACTCCTGCTCGTTCCATTGCTCTTATGAGGAGATAACTGACTTGATCGTCCCGTACGAACTATGTTCGTCCCGTACGATCAGTACAAATTTCTCAAGATCTCCTTAAGTGTGTGTGTATTCACTCAATTACAATCACTCCCTTTCAAAACTTAATTCAAAGAAAAAATACAAGTTTTAAATCCACAAAGTATCTCATGTTGAATTTGATTTAAAGTCTTTGTAGTCTGGAGTTTGATTTTCCTGAAATGTTAGTACACACAAGAGCAAAAATAACTTTTCTAAAAAGTGTTAGGAGATAACTATATATAAAATAATAATAGTCGAAATCATCAAAATTATAAAAGTTGCAAGAATGTAAACATGCAAATAGCAACTCTCTTAACAATCTCCCCCTTTGATGATGACAAAATAATTATTGTTTGTATAATTTTCAAATTTAAAAAAAAATCTCCTAAACTCCCCTTGAATTGATAAACATGTGTAAATACGGAGGCATTGTTAGAAATATATAACAAACAAAAATAAAACAAAATCCAACATACACAAAAACCTAAACAAAATCCACGATATAAACAAAAACTACGATACAAACAATTTCTCCCCCTTTTTGACAACAGCAAAAAGTAAAGAAGAAAAAGACATGAAATATAAGCACACATATGAAAATCATTTGATAATTCAATCTTGAAAGTGATTGAAATAAGTTATGTAATTAAAATTAAAACATTAGGCAAATTATATTAATTCATAGAATTTAAGAAGAGATATAACATTGATAATAGAAAGAATATATCAAAGGCATAAGTCAATTTACACACTAAGATAAAGAAAATCATTGCAAATAGGATGAATAGAAAATTTGTATATTTCAAATGTCAATACAGAATATAAATGTACAATAGATCAATTTGAATTAAGAGATTAAAAGATAATGGAAAGAAATAATTACTACATATGGCGCTTTGCGCATCTTTTTCAAATTATTGGCACATTTTTTTGCATCTTTTTTCAAAATCAATAATAAAAAATTTCAAATTTTTCTAAGTGCATAAATATTTATTGATAAGTGAAATATAAAATAAGAAAACATCATAGTTGCAATAAAAATATTAGAATTAATGTAGTCTAAATAAGAGACATGAAATTGATAATTCTAATTATATCAAGTTATAAGCAGAACTTAAATTTAGAAAAAATTAGATTTTCTAATGAATTTAATTTAGACTTGCACTTCAAAGTATAGCACTATTAAGATCAAAAATTTAATGATTGTCATAAAGGCTAAACCACACATTTCAATACAATAAAATCCAAAAAACACGTGAACATATATTAATATCACTAAAAGATATTACAATTTAAGGTCAGGATATCAATACGAAAACAAAACATCTAAAGTAAAAAAAAAATACAACAAACTTTCTAAAAACACATCTAAAACACAAACTATAGAAAATACATAAAACTAAGTGCTATAATCACTGAGAAGGACCTGATTGGTGGAGGAGGAGGAGGTGCAGTATCAAAGATGTTAAAGTAAGTACTCATCATAAGCACATTGGTACTGATATCATTCATCTGATCCCTCATAAAATTCATGTCATGCTAAATACTATGCGGCCTGCTGCTGAAGATGAGTCTCAATTTGATCAAATCATTGATCAAAGTGAGTCTCTAAGCTATCAAATATTTGAACCAAATCCTGATAATTTGGTTCATTGGCAGGAGCAGGTGCAGCTTATGGTTCTTCCTCTATATCATTAATGACATGAGTTCTACTTGGTTCTTTTTTGAAGATTGCTCTAAATGATTCTCGTTGTAGTAGAGTAGTTCTTCAAACTCTTAATCAGGATGAACCAAATTGTATTTCTTCTCCAGAATATAGGCAACAAGATGTCCTAAGGCGATGTTTTTATTTCTCGTATGCTCTACATGTCCAATTTTAGACAGCCCATAAAGATAGTCAAGGATAAGTTGGGCTTTATCTATAGGTTCTTTAGTCATGATCAAGAAAGTCACCATAGTAAGAAGAGGGGTATTGTTGATCCTATCACCAGCTTTAGGAATTATGGAAGTTCTAAGGACATGCTGGATGATTCGTGCATTACGAACTAGACTGGATACTCTAGCCACATGTTCGTTCACATTGTTCCCTCTCATCAAATTATTAATTTCAGACCATGAATAATCAGGAGTGTTGATCAAATGATGGGCTCTGGATCCCTCTGTCCTTAAGTTCAAAAAGGCTCCTAAGTCATGCTTGGTGATTTCAACTTTTTATTTGAAGACATAGGAACAGATTATAGAGTGGTCAGAATTAAAAGATATGTTGGCAAGGAAGAAGTGGAAGGTTTCCTTATTGTAGAGATGGACGAGGGTAAGGATAAAACCAAATTGAGTTGAAGAAAATAAGTTCATTACCTGAAAGGTAATTTGTTCTTGGATAAGGATTCTTGAGGGTGTGATCTTTGCAGAGGCAAACCTAAGAAAAGATTTCTCATTTGCTTTAGAAAGGAAATTTTCAGAGAAATTTCGATGTGATTTCTTTACTAGAACCTTTTGTCTCTTGCTTGAATTCTCCATTTAGAAGAGGATCTAGAGTACGAAAGAGATTGAAAGTGGAGATTTTAGTATGACGGTTGAGTTTAAAAGCACTTCTATTTATTGAAAATGAAACATTCGAACCATATGAAAAAATTTTGTCCCATACGAAATTTTTAATTCATCCTGTACGAAAAATTTTTGTTTGGACGATCGAAGGCGTCAAAATGAAACGTCTTTTTGTAATCAACACAACTTACGATGCATCCTTTCGTACAGACTTTTGACCAGTCTGATCGTACAGACGAACACGTGTTTGTCCCGGGATGATTAGAACTTATATCATTTTAATGGCAGTTAAAACCGTCCCCTACATCGAACCGACATGTGTTCGTCCAGACGAACCAAAGGTTCGTACGTACGAA